GTATGTTACTGCTAGATGTGTCATTTGCTATTAACAAGGTTATGGGGTTTCAAACATTTTGATGTCGCTGTTTTAGTATGAGGATGCTTTAGCGAAGATGGACAGTATGTCATTCTCTGATGATCGAAAGGTTGTTCGCAAAAACATTAATTACAAGCGATTGAATTGAATTGTTGAAAGACATCTTTCGGTGACTTAGCTGTTTTTGACTTAAGAGTTTTCATGACTATCATTATTGGATTGCGTTCATCACTTTAATAAGACAATAACTTTAGTCGGCCGGATCTTCAGCTATTATGGCGCCGACCACACCATGCTCTTCTTATTTTTCTATCCTTTATTCCCCATTTCCACGACCTACTTTCCCATTCGACGATATCAGCCTCGCATCTATTGGGTAAACGCCCAACATGTCTGGTTCATCCGCATGAAACGACTATCATATTACATTCAGGAATTATGAGATCCGCTTCCGAATATGCATTATATTGTGGTTGAAGAAAGAAATGTTATGAAGATCATTCGAATTTGAACGAAGTTGAATTTGTTTTAATAATACTATTCCAAAAGTTCGATCTTAACATATTGCTAACATATTGCATCGTTCGTCAACACCCGCTTATCATTATTATCATTGTGGTTTTATCGCTGTTACTCCAATAACTTATCAATACTCGCGACCTGTCACTACTTCAATCATTACCGTTCATTCAAGTTGTTGAAAAATAAAACTGCTGCTGTCAATTGTTTTGCTGCAACTCTCGACAAAACATTGTTTCTTTCTATGAACTGTACTAATCCTCGTTATTTACTGTGCTAAATAAACAGAGGGTTGCACTTCGTCGTTATTAATAACGACAAATGAATAACTGAACAGTTCCAATTTGCCGTGTGACAACAAATCTAAGCACGTAATGTTCTTACGATTCGAAGTATTTATTGTTCCGAACGTTTTCATGAAAACGAAACAAGCGTGCTACATCTTGCATTTTCAAAGAACTTGATTGAAGGGTACAATGTCATAATCGACAATTCAAAAACTGTCAGATTCAATAAGTGCTGCTGACTGAAATCATCTTCAAAAATAGACGAAATTTTTTTTAAAATTCTTACGTTCAAGAAAAATCATTCATGCGATAGCAAAAATTTTCGACATTCGCAAGTAGCTGTCATCCTACCGCATATATCTCAAAAATTAAATCAGATAGCCAAGAAATAACCACAAAATTGTTTCAGACACAGTTGAATGATCGAAACACAAAAGAGCATTTCGCAACTCGAGCTGCATCCTTCCGTAACGCAAATGCCCTCTTGCTGTTATTACTTGCATGAGGCTGAGGAAATCTTCCATTGTAACATTCGCTCATATTGGATGTATTTGATTTGTCTGAATGAATTTCAGATCAATCCTAATCATCAACTACTTTCAACTGAACAAATCAATAACTGCTTGGATTTGCTAAAGTGTGCGACTTTTGTGAAGTTTTGCGGAGTAAAATTTGCAAAAGCAATCATCATCACTCGATGAAAGTTTCTGATTGAACGTGACAAACATATCATATGATTGATTCCAAAGAGACACATTTATTTGGGGAATTAACTGACCATAAAGACAAAACAAAAAACATGTCGAAATGAATAAATGAGGTAACTGAATGGAACTGTTTAAGACATCAAAACGAGTGTCAAAAATATCAATCGATCAATCAACTAATCAAAAACAAATTCAAGTCCAAATTTGCATGACCATTAGCCGAGAATTGAACCCGAAAAGAATACAGAGGTATTATAGCAGCTGCAATGAACAGAGATGATGAATGAAATCATTTGGAACTTTGGAAATATTCTATTGCTTCAGAACATGAGTGACACATACACACATACGCACAAGTGAACTGATACAAAACTAGAAACGAAACAATTTCTATTCAAAATATACTCTCAAACTATTTTTTCACTCATGTAAACGTCTCTGTAATAGAACTTATTGCTATCCCTCTAAATGGATTCTTATTTTCACGCTGAAAGTTTGCCTAGAAACTAACACATGCATCATTGCTGTGCTTCTTGGTATCTCACAAAAATTTGGATCGATAGAATTTCGTCAGATACACTTCTTCAGCGAAAAATGAAAATAATTCTTTTCGGGTCACTCTGCCAGCAGAGATCAAGTTAAGTGATAGACATGACGCAACAATAATTATGTATAAGTGGTACATGAATAATGAAATGAAAATGATAATTATCCATCGAAAAAGGAATCATCAAATATCGAACAAATCCAATCGAATAAAGCTGAATAAAATAAAAACGATTAATAAGAGAGATTTGAGAAGATAAGTAATATCAAATATTCCAAATGGTATACGCGGTTCAATTCTAGTATCTAAAAACTTTCTGAATTTCCTTCACTTGACAGTACGAGACATTCACGATTTCTTACTGTTCATAAAGTGTCATACAGCAATTTCACTGATGGAACAACGCTTCTCTCATCGACATTCACACGCCACAAAGGTGTATGAATCAAAACGATATCATATCAAAGCATACAATGATAAAGTAACGAAAATAAGAGATCATATAGCACTAAATAATGCAAATGAATGAACAATATTCAGAAACAAACAAACAATCAATGAAATGAACAAATGAATAACACAAACAAGAGAACATTAATCTCATCGTCTGTTCAACAACAATACTACCATCTGAACTGAATTAATTCATTATGAAAAGACTTAAAGGCAAAACAGAAGTAGATGATTGAACGAAGGGAAGACACACTCAATTATATTATTACTGCTTTTATTATGTATTACAACTGTTGACCGATTATATGAGTTTGGCTGCATGAACATTTCCAAAGGAATCATCATAACAATTTGATTGAGGAGCTGATAGCAATCTGTTTTCGAGGAGTCACAACCACATGATAGATACCAATCTTTACGGGTTGGGTTGTCAATTACAGATTGATCTATTCGTTGGAACAAATATTCCGATGAACGATCAAGCCGTGATTAAACTCAATTCCAAGCAGAATTAGGTATGCGCTGGAAATTTCCCTCTCACATGTGGAAATCACTACCTTTGAACCTTCAACCAAAATATGGCCAAAGACACACTCACTGATCAGTGCATTTTTTGAAGTCGTCCGTCTTTGAATGGTCCATTGGTTGCTCGCTTACTCATTATCCACTACTGTTCGACGAAATATTACCAACAAAGATGGATTGAATCAGAAGAGAAGATATGAATTTTGGAATGAAAGACAAGTAAACAATAAACGAAATTAATTTTCTGAAGACTTATTTGCAACGATAACGATTCAAATGATGGTCATATTAGAATGGCTGTGTATCGTAGGAATTGGGACAAGATCNGCAATCAGTTAATATCAATTCAAAAAACGGAATCGCAAATGGTATTCAGTAGCATAGCTCAACGGCGAACACAACAACAAAACAAACAACCATCCTATTAATGAGGATACAACAAAACGAAGCGAATAAAACAAATTAGAATGCTGATTGATGATCATTTAGAGACCACAACAATGAAGACAAAATATTTTAGATGCATTTCGCAACAAAAAATTATTGTCGGATCTCCTTCAACGAGGTATTTGAATAGTTTTTTAACTCCTCTCGAACTGAGTGAGTCAAAAGGAAGCACCGATGAAACAACGATGCACCGCAAAAGCAAGTAATAAATGATGACAAACGAAACGATGCTCTGGCATTCTTGGACAGTTCATTCGATTATATACAAAGGTATATTGGGTTCTGATTTGGGTCTCTCTTAAATGTGCACAAAGGATTTTTGTGGTTAAGCGAACTGTCCCAGAATACGATTATGACTAATGAAAATGAATGACATATTGAGAATAACAATGGATCAATGAATGACAACAGTGATAGTGAGTAATAAACGAATATATTCAACAGAATATGAATGAAGAGAGAATAATGTCAGTAATTATTACTGCTGAGGTGAGAATTGCTTGAGAAGTGTTAAACCACTTGACATAACCTTCATAAGTGAAATTATCTCTTCGGTATCGGTCGATGAGGTCATTTTAAGAGCAGCCCATTCGAGTTTCTCTTTAATTGTTTGCAGAACGTAGTTCGTTTCCTGTGAGACTGGAACTGGTGAGTGCGAATTGCTGGACGTTCGAGAGTGCGATGCGGCTATGAAAAGATTCTGAAAAGTCTCTTTCTTTGATTGTTAAAATTACTTATTCTAACAAAATCACAAATGAAAACATCGAAAATGACAAAAAATCAACTTATCATGACAATGTCAAATGAATCAAAAAGCTACCGGGCAAAGTAGTGCCAACCATAAATAAAAGTTTAAAAAATTGCTGAAATCATCACTGTTACAACTACAGCTATTCCCATTAAACACAATATGATGTTAAGATGAATGCAACGGTGTACATAACTTTTCTCATATTTCAGAAATGGAATTCCTGTCGAATTCATTGAGCAGAATGAAACACTCACCGATGAAATTTCAGGATCTTCTTTCGGTGTTTTGATTTTCTTTTGCGCTTCACTGTTTTTTATTTCCTGAAATATCGACGCACATATACCAAGAATGTTAATGAATTCAAGGATGACAATCGTAAAAATGCAATTAAAAACACAAAAAATAATAGTTAATAATAATCGTGATGATCAACAATAACAAAGGAACAGAACGAAGCTAATACAAAGATACACAATAACGTTAACGAACATTCAAGAAAATGAAAAGTTAAAGGATGAACAACGACAATAACGAACCTGACGTATATCCGGATGACGCATCTTCATATGCTGCGAAACATTCCAAGCACTCGGGCACTGCATCTCAAGACCACATAATATGCATTGGTAGATATTCGGTCGACTGCTCGGCAATATAAATGCCCAGTAGGGACTTTGTTTCGGTTTACGTCGACGTTCTTCTGCTGCAGTTTTTATTGTGATGAATTTACAATAACAGTAGTAATAGTTTACACCAATAATAACAGTTTTACAGTAACAGTAATAATTGTAATAACAAGAATGGATAACAGTAACAAGATATAATTATGCACTAATAACAAAGCTAATCGCGAATGGAAAACGAAAGTATAAATGTAACATACCTAACAACTCAGAGATAGACGATTCAATATTGCTAACGGATGAAAGCGATGTATTATTGACTCGTTCGGAAGTATTCAGAGATAAATTTCCATTTGATGATGAAGGCAAATTATTCTGCAATTACAACTTTCATTATGAATACGACGACAGCAATAGTGATATGAGAGCAACTGAATTACATTACCATGGATGCATTGACCATGCCGAGAAGAAGTTCAGAGGTAGATTTGGTGATAGTGCGATTATCGATATCGATAAGGGAATCAATAGGAGTGGTTGTAGTCGATGTGATGATATTGGCCGTTGAAGTGCACGTGCTTGACGATGAGGTTGGTGTTTTGTCGTTCGTCATTATCATACTCGCCTTCTGCGATACTTGATAACGTTTCATGGCACGATAGCATGATGACATTGGCATCTGCAAAATTGATTCTTTCGTGTTGCCATTCCTTGCGATAAAACTTCTACTAACTAATAAGAACTAACTGATAAGATACTCATCAAAAGTCATAAACTTATGCACATCTGCAACTTATCATGCTGTTTGCGGTTTAGTTATATATCAACGGAAATGAAATGAATGAAATCAAGCAAAATTTAACACAAAAAAAACGACTCAACAGCGATTCTCACTTGTAATTTTTCGGCGATTTTCTGTAACGTCAGACCCTTATCTCGCCAATATTGGACCACTTTGCCATCTTCTAAAGTTAAATGTTTTCGTCCACTAAGTGGCATATTCTCGTTTATATTCGGTGTCGTTGGTTGAACTTAAATTTGAAATTCTTTATTTTTTNTTTTTTACTGACTTGACTCCGGGTTGTTTCCAATTTTCATTTATTTCACTGTGAATTCAATCCTTCTTTCATTCCAGTCACATGCACATTTATTGACTTAACACCGAAAATATTATGGAAGTGAAAGTTCGACGACTGATAACACTTGATCATATAGTTAAATATGCAATTGACAATAAACATGAATGTATCTCACTGTTCGCTAGACTAGCCACCAACGAGTTTGGCATTTTTGACGGTGATGTCAAATCCAATTCCCTACCAAAATCTTGCTGCAGTTCTTCGTGATGTCGTTTTCCTTAAAGTTGACTTCATCTTTATAAAATCTTGAGTGAACTAATGTTCCTTTGGAGAATCTGCGTGATGATAATCACAAACAAAAAATAGATGAAATAGCACGATGTCTGTCAATCGATGATCGCAAAGGTGACAATAATGAATATCAAATATAAACCAACTCGAGGATGCACTGTTGGTATTTGCGAATCCTTGATGACCATTCGTTAGTTCGTTCGCCTGAAAGGCAAAAAATCACGTTTGTCTTTTGTGAAGTATAAACGTTCCAGTTTCAGATTGATTTTTTGACATTCATTAAATCCGCATGCATAATTTTGTGTCCATGCTTATCGGTATTCGATAGTTTGAAGCAACGAATGAAATCCGAACAGCACATTCAGTGATTCAACTCAATCACTAACTCATCAATCAACTCCCACAAACAGTTCAAATAAATGAAATTTTAATTCTTCCCTATACGAATCGCACTGCAACACGGTTATGACTGTGAATAATTCAATAATTCAACAGCTGAGATGGAAGTTCATTTATGTGACGGTACGGTTATGGACTATTTTATTTTGTTTGCCACAAATTAACAAGCAATAAATTTGAACACATTGAAAGAGCAAATGAATAAAGAAAACGTAAACGAGAAGCAATAAACAACAAGCAAACCAATAAATAAATCAACAAAACGAACCACCATTTCTTGTTGTCGCTTCTTTATACGTACTTCGGCTTTTATCCGCTCCCAATACTCTGTTGGAAGTCGGAGCTTTTTGATTGCTGTATGACAATTCGTTATCGGTACCTTAACAATCAAGCATTACTTCATTCCCTCAAAAACCAAAAAAATGGCTCTCTTTTCATTTTTCTCTTCTCAAACAAATATTTTTCAATATAATACTTCAGTTCCTTTTATTTGGAAAATGAACAATAAAAAATCTTTATCGGATAAGAATTATTGAAAATTTCCTTAATTTCATTCTAAAATTGCTTTTTTTTGCCTCAAACCGAAAAAAATGAAGAGAGAATATTCCATTGAATTTTACTGGATCAATGGCTAGAATGACCATAAAAGGATGTTTTGTGTGATGATTAGATTAAACAAAACTATTGAAGTGAATTTGTGTGTTGCGTGCTGAAGAGGATATGGGCTTTTATTGCATTAATACATCGAAAGTGCATTAGTTAATCGAGAACATTCATCCATTTATATCACTTTTCGATTCGTTTCTCTTTATTTATCTATCCTTCGCTTTGGAAATTTCATTTATTCCCCAATAAAGTTGAACACAACAATCTATCAGATAGATACGATTTTCAATTTCTAAATTTCCTTTTTCGAACAATAATAATAATAATAATAAAACAGAATGAAATATTCCATGTGGACGGTAAAAAAGATTCACGACCATCATACGCTGATAATAACTATTATTAATTTTCGAGTCCACGTATACTGTTAATATCAACTAACAAGTTTACGGCGTCAGTAAAACTCACGTTAAGACGTTCTGAGATTGTGCGGAATGTGAGACCTTGTTCTTTGAGAAATTTCACTTGCTCACTGAGATTTTTACCTGAAACGTCGGAAATTATCGTTGAATCAAACAACCACCAAATAGCACAACGAGAATAAAACTCAGAATCACGTATTATAAGAAAGGGAATACACAAAAATTTCCTTGCGTTGTATAATATTAACCATAGAGAAGGGTGCTTAATTGATGCTCAATCAATTCATTCATTCACAAGAATTGAGGAATGAACAACAATTATCTAAATGTGTGCTTCTTCATAATAATAAAAACGTGAAAAACATCTCATAACACAATTATTTCAGCAATCAGCAATTAAGGATGTAAGAAGAATAATGAAAACGAAAATATAACTAACAAAAACTAATGTTATCGTGATGATAATCATTGTGATAACAACACTAACCTCGAAGTTCTTCCTCAAATGCATTCGCTTCAATTTTTGCATCGGATTCGGTCGAATCAGCGGGCGTTTGACTTCCATCCAACGAATCCACTTGTGAATCACTTTTCTCATCATCCGACGATACCACATAATTCTCCTCTTCTTTCAGTACCTGAAATTCGTTCTTTAGAATCCTATAATCTCGCCACCCTTTACTATTCACGACAGCAAAATTCCACTCAGAACATATTTCGTTCAGCAGCACTTACACCTTCTCTACTCCAATGCAGTGAAATTCATCGAAATGGAATCGCACAACTTTTCACGTGCTAACAAGTGAAATTTAACCAGCTAAAGGTACGCTGCCTCAAGGATGCCAAATGAAAAAGCATGCAGAAATCGTAGTGCAGCTTTTTTGTTGGCATTGAAAAAATTTTCCCTTATCAAATCAATTGTATTGATTTGATAAGGGAAAATTATTACTTGAGAGGAAATTAGGGCTATATCGGAAGCGGAATCGCATCCGGAGCTGTTTGAGGGTAAGTAGTAAATGTAGGGACGTCAAAAATCTTATGCACGCTTGGAGACCCCATCGACCTCTAGTAGAAGATGATCGATCCGATGGCGGAATTTCACCTATTCATCGTTTCGGATGCGTGATATTCATACCATAACAGTTTTTATTCAGATGAAATACCTAAGAAAACAAAGGCAAACTTTATAAGGGGTGAGGAAGGGATTACACGCTGAAACGAAAACCTGAATTGAAGGATCATCGATGACTGTATCGATCTGTGTTGCACGATTATCATCATTTTGCTCAGTGGCAGCTATCCCACTGGTCTCTTCAACACATTCATTGACGTCATTCATTTGCATTTGACAACTGAATTACTTCATTATTTCATTATCTTATTGAATATTAAGAGGTAACACGTTGATCCGAAGAACATAAAGCGAGCACAATACGCGAACTCATCCGTCTTTTTGATTCAAAACAAAGT